TCTTTTTCAAACTGCTCTCGCTCTAGGACAGGATGAGTATATGATGAGCTTTCTGCGCAGAATTCAGAGTTAGTACTACACCACTACCACCACGATGTACACACTGCCACATTCACCACCTGTGTGACCAATAGTTGAGTCGTCACATAATCCCCGTGACTATGTAAGTGGGGCAGTGGGCGGTGCGGCGGGCGAGGGAGGGGTCGTGATCTGAAGCTGGTCAAAGTTGACTCAGAGTGAAACACAAGAACACAGTATGAATTACGCCCCGCTTGGAGGAGGGGGAGGAGGAAGCCTTCTTGATCATCTGAACAGTGTCTTCACTTTTGCTTGCCCTTGATCCACTATACTACAGGCTGGCCAGAACCATGAACAAACACACACACACACACACACTCCTTTCATTCACCATCATTCATTCATCCACTCTGACTGCTGTAACAGATGTGTACTGATACGGCGTTCCCCTTCCACAACAAGGCCCCGAGATATCTGCCTGGCTCGCCGCCCCTGTCGTCACACACACACACACACGAGCACCACCGCAGTGTAGTTCTTGCAAAGGTTGACACAAATATGAATGAGGACTATGAGAATCAGATCAACATTGAAAAGACAGAAGCATGTTAGAATACCTTAGTGGTTTGTTTTATTATTAATTCCTTGAGGGCGATGGTTTAATCCCTTGAGGACGATGGTTTAATCCCTTGAGGACGATGGTTTAACCCCTTGAGGACGATGGTTTAACCCCTTGAGGATGATGGTTTAACCCTTTAAGAACAATGGTTTAACCCCTTGAGGACGATGGTTTAACTCCTTTAGGACGATGATTTAACTAACCGCTTGAGGATGATAGCTTAACCCTCTAGGGACGATGGTTTAACCCCTTGAGAACGATAGTTTAACCCTTTAAGGACGATGGTTTAACCCTTTAAGGACGATGGTTTAACCCTTTAAGGACGATGGTTTAACCCTTTAAGGACGATGGTTTAACCCTTTAAGGACGATGGTTTAACCCCTTGAGAACGATGGTTTAACTAACCCCTTGAGGATGATGGTTTAACCCTTTAAGGACGATGGTTTATCCCTTAAGGACTACGATTTAACCCCTCAAGGACGAAAACTCTTAAGGACGATAGTTTAACCCCCTGAGGACGATAGCTTAACCCCCTGAGAACGATAGTTTAACCCTTTGAGGACGATAGTTTAACCCTTTGAGGACGATAGTATGGCCCTTTGAGGACGATGGTTTAACCCTTTGAGGACGATAGTTTAATCCCCTGAGGACGATAGTTTAACCCTTTGAGGACGATAGTTTAACCCTTTGAGGACAATAGTTTAACCCTTTGAGGACGATAGTTTTACCCTTTGAGGACGATAGTTTAGCCCTTTGAGGACGATGGTTTAACCCTTTGAGGACGATAGTTTAACCCTTTGAGGACGATAGTTTAACCTTTTGAGGGCGATAGTTTAACCCTTTTAGGATGATAGTTTAACCCTTTTAGGACGATAGTTTAACCCTTTGAGAACGATAGTTTAATCCCCTGAGGACGATAGTTTAACCCTTTGAAGACGATAGTTTAACCCTTTGAGGGCGATAGTGTAACCCCCTGAGGACGATAGTTTAGCCCTTTGAGGACGACAGTTTAACCCTTTGAGGACGATGTTTTAACCCTTTGAGGACGATAGTTTAACCCTTTGAGGACGATAGTTTAACCCTTTGAGGACGACAGTTTAACCCTTTGAGGACGACAGTTTAACCCTTTGAGGACGATAGTTTAACCCTTTGAGGAGGACAGTTTAACCCTTTGAGGACGATGGTTTAACCCTTTGAGGACGATGGTTTAACCCTTTGAGGACGATAGTTTAACCCTTTGAGGACGATAGTTTAACCCTTTGAGGACGATAGTTTAACCCTTTGAGGACGATCATTTAAGATTTTGCTTTCATTGATTGAAAGCAAGTTGTCCGTTAGCGTCGTCTGTCAAGAAAATAGTTAAGGTCAAGATGCCCTTCATTATTCCCTGCTCAATGACGTGTGGAAGAGGGTTGTTGAAATGGGTTCCGTCCGTCTGTCTGTTTTTATCCTGTATACAAAAGAATCTGTTATCTTTTTTGGGGGGAGGGTACGTTTTTTCCTTTTTATTTCATTATTTCTGTAACCATGGAAACAAAAGTGGTCATGTTTCATTATCAAAACATGACTCAAATACCACATGTCATTATTATGTCTTGGTAAACGTATTAGTCTTGATTATAAAGAGGTGCCTTTTATATCCTAGGATGATCAGGTTTATTTAGCATTTCTCTACCTGTACATTCCCGTGTTGACTAACTACTCTATAAGGTAAAAATGACACACACACACTTTGGTACACACACACTTTGGTAGTGGTGGTGTCGGTGGTAGTAGTGGTGACGATGGTAGTAGTGGTGACGATGGTAGTAGTGGTGACGATGGTAGTAGTGGTGACGATGGTAGTAGTGGTGACGATGATTTTGTAGGTCAGTGATGTAGGCTACCAGGTTAATGTTATCCACCTCGACTATATTGTAAGTGCTATCATATTGGGCCCTTATAAAGATTAGGAACACAAAACTGACTTCAGCCACCCTAACAAGGAACCAGGTGTGTGTGTGTGTGTGTGTGTGTGTGTGTGTGTGTGTGTGTGTGTATGTATGTGTGTATGTATGTATGTGTGTATGTGTATGTGTATGTATGTATGTGTATGTATGTATGTATGTATGTATGTATGTGTATGTGTGTGTATGTGTATGTGTGTGTGCTGTGTGTGTGTATGTGTGTGTGTGTGTGTATGTGTGTGTGTGTGTGTGTGTGTGTGTGTGTGTGTGTGTGTGTATGTGTGTGTGTGTGTGTGTGTGTGTGTGTATGTGTGTGTGTGTGTGTGTGTGTGTGTGTGTGTGTGTGTGTGTGTGGTTCTTAGCATTTTCGTAGTAAAAGAAGAAATAATAAAAATCCTCACAATCATGAATGAGATGGAAAAGCACTACTGGTGTTTGAACATTTATCACAGATGCAGTTCTTGCTTGACCTAGTTGAGGCACTGTTACCGTGGTGTAGGGATTCCCAGTTTATTTTAAGCACTTCCGGAATAGCTACAGATCTCTATGGTGGTTATTGGTCAACTCAACCCCCTGTCATTTCAACCATTGTCAATTCAACCCCCTGTCATTTCAACCACTGTCAATTCAACTCCCTGTCATTTCAACCACTGTCAATTCAACTCCCTGTCATTTCAACCACTGTCAATTCAACCCTTGTCAACCGGGCCTCTGTCAATTCATTCCCTGTTTGTTTATTTGGACCTAGAAAGGCAGTAAAGGCGGCGAAACTGGAACTTGAAAAAAATATGTTATTCGGCCTTTGGGGATCAGGTGAGGGGGGGGGGGAGGCGCCATGGATTCAAGTGAGGCAGTTAGATGCATTCTTATACGTTAGAAAGATAATTTAATTTAGAGTCATCAGGAGGCGTGGATCAGGTTTACACGCTTTAGATAGGTGAGGTGTAGGGGACAGGAAAGTGTAGTGTTAGTAGATTTGGTTATTAGTTTGTAAAGACCAAGACAGTTGCAGCAATACACCTGCACACCTGTAATATTTAATGGTTTATTGAAAGTACATGAGTCAAAAGGCTGAAAATATACAACAAACCGCGAGAATAAAAATTTCATATGGTGAAATTGGGGAGTGGGTCACTTGATAGATAAAAAAACTTTCAGTACAAGAAGAGAAGAAACAGGGAGTGAACATACAAATTAACTACATACTGTATCTGGTAGTGAGGAAGCCGGTGTCGTAAACCCTCACGTGACTTGATAGCGACGCCAACAATGTCCTTCCTGCGGTTCAGAGGACCCGCGTATGGGGGGGGACTATGGGCAGTCCTAGACGCTCCTTTCCTCCCGTCTGGTCACAATCTGCACATGGTCCTGGTAGATCCTTCGGCTAACATGGGGGTGTTGGAGAGAGATGTTTGGAGTCCTAATTTGTCACCTGGTGTAGCTGGGTGTACTCATTACTGCCCTTGTGTAGATTGGAGTCTTGATTTCTTCATCCAGTTGATGGTGAGTGTATAGGTCGGGACCTGGGTGTTTGAGGTACACTGCGTATGGGCCGCGGGGCACTGACTTGTCACTGTCTAACACTGGTTTCCATTCTTTTCGAGTTGGAATTTGTAATTTTGAATATCAGTTGTGGGTTGATCGTCAGTCTTTGCGCTGTATTGTCGGTGGGCGGATGTTGATGGATCCTGTTGGGGAATAGGAGCAAGGGGGAGGGGTGGACAATCCATCCCTGGCAACCGAGAGGCGCCAAGTATACGTCTTCACTTCATGGGAGCTGAGGTGTGTGTGTGAAATATCATAGGTCAGAGGTGGAGGATAAAAAAAAATATGTTTATATGTCGCAATAGGTACCTTACACCAGCTACGGCGGCACTATCTTGTCTTGCTATATACTGCAGATAGCAGGTAGACAGTGATGAACGACGGCATCTAAAATGTCTGATTCGCTGACCCAATGAGAGAGACAATCACAGCGAAGATGGTTGAGAAATGAGTTATGTGATAGAAGCTATACTGGTCTTATCCGTTGTAAACACACACACACACACTAGTTGCATCACCTACAGTACCTAACTCGGGAAATGACGTGATGTTGTTTTGGCCCTGAGTTCAGTTATTGAGGATCAGGTTACGAAATATTGTAACACTCTTCAATTGCTTGAAATGTTTGTAAGTGCTCAAGGTCAAATTTGTCATTACTTTTAACCAGGTTTCGAATAGTGATCGTTTTAATGACCGAACTAACCAATTCATAAGATGCCATCGTCTGTCACTAGTTTCAGTCGTGTTTATATATGACAGAGCAGGTACTAGGTCTACCTGGGAGACGACGAAGCAAAGTAGATATATCAATTGCTTCTTAACTTTTCCCAAGATATATGTACAGTATAATAATATATTTTCTCTTTTTTCAGACGCCACACGCCGTACTTCGGGCAGCCCGACTACCGCCTGTACGAGCTCAACAAGCGGCTGCAACAGAGATCGGAGGTAAGGAAGCTTTCGTGTTCTTGTTGGGGAGACTCAGGGGTGTCAACTTTCAGAAATGAACTGATAGCTTGGCCAGCAGAGTAGTGGAAGAAGCCCTTAACTCCGCTGCTTGGGAGAAGGGGGCGGGAGGGTGTAGGAGGGAGTGGGGTTAGGGTGTAGAAGGGAGGCGAGGGTGAGGGAGTAGTAGATGGAAAAGAATGAAAAGTAGGAGGGAGGGTTTGTTCAAAAGGAAGGAAGGGTCTAGGCCAGCAAAGGCTCGGGTATGGAAGGGCGGAATATGTGAGGGAACAAGCGGGAAGGGTGAAGGAGGAAGGACGTGGGAAGGGTGAGGGAGGTGGACGTGTGAGGGAGAATGCTAAAGTAGTAGTTGTAAAGTGAGGAAAGGGAGGGTGAAGGAGGTAGGGGGGAATGCGTTGGGGAGGTCGCAAGAGTACGGAGGGAGGGGAGAGTGCTGGAGTAGGGGAGGGAGGTAGATAGGAATAGGTAAAAGAAAAATAGAGGAGGATGAGAATAAGGACGAGTAAAGAAATTTAACAAAAACAAGAAAAAAAAATAACCTGAATGAACCGAGTGAGAGCCTAGGTATTCGTAATGACGCTTCTGCGCTTCACCTTGCACAGGATGTAAGGGGGTGCCCAATAAACTAACCTCCTCTGGGCAATCTAAAAAACAAAATCGTTGTGACACCTGCTAAATACTGTACAGTTATCTCTAGGAATTATTATATAACTGTCATCTGGGTATAACGTGTTGGATGGAGTTAGTAAATGCTAATTAAGATGTTGCCACTGTTTTATAACATAGAGCTGATGGTGAGCTAGTGACAACACACATCATGGGTTATGTTCAACGGAAACGGTAAACATTGTCAACGTAAAGGCAAATAGATAACAATTGGCAATGGTAATTTTAATCAACAAACCAGTGTAATGTAATAATGGTTTTTATGATAGTAAAAAGTAAAACAGTAGAAAAGTAAATGTTTCTACAAACACTTAGACGGTAAATATCTTTGAGATGATATAAATGAAGGGGGTGTAGCCTTTGAGTGTAAGAACAGAGAGAGAAGAGAGAGAATCAAATGTAAGAACTGAGAGAGAAAGAAAGAAAACAAGGGTAAGAACTGTGGGAGAGAGAGAGAGAGAGAGAGAGAAGTAAAGAGGAAAGACGGAGGCAGATGTGTGTGCGGGGGGGGGGGTGACAGGCAGGGGAGCATCACCCCTGGGGAGCAATACACCGCCTGGCATCAACACACGCAAGGGGGCGTGTAGATACACACATACACCCTTCCTCCCCCCCTCACACACTATGTCTTTACATCAGTGTGCAGACTTGGTTCTTGGCTCATGACAAAGATGGCGCCGTGTTATAGAAAGCGAGTCCGTGTGTGTTTGGACATACGTTCTGCTTTTGGGCACGACAAATCCTTTAGTTCAATTTAGACATCCATAGTATGTATAGTACTGCATATTCAATATGAGCGGCCAGCGACTGTTCTTCACCTGTGGGGGCGGGCTGGTCAACCATACACCAGGGTCTTGGCCTCAAAGGTTCGCTCGATGAACATTCCTCAGTCGTCATAGGGTATGGTTAAGAATGTTCCTAAATTGGTTGACGATGTTAAAAATATAATTATCGTAGAGAATCTTTTGAAATATTGTGTGTTGATTTTATCCCCTGGTTTTATTGATGCAACTTGGCGATTATATTTTTGCGTTATTTTTTTGTAAGTCAGTAAGTCCACCAATTGTGTGCATCTTTACGTCTTTAATTGTGATGAATATTCATGATATGAACCAATGAGAATCTGGACTCAGGGTATGAGGGTTCACCACTGTTTATCTCGGCAACTATCAATACAATATGTACAGTGAGAGAATGAAGTATCTTCCCGGGGTTTTGATGAATACATCGCAGAACGGTTGAGCCATTCGACACACGCCTGTGTGTAGCTCATAAACAGTTGGCAGACCTGTGGAACCTTGGAAAGGGGTCGCCAGTGACACCATTCACTGTGTTGGGTGGTCAGGTTTCATTATACTTCGGCCAGAGCTGGGAAGATACTTCATACTCTCACTGTACAGTTCTCAGTCTTTCTTTATATTTGTCTACCATATACGTTTATAGATTAACTGCATGGCAAATATTATTATATACGTCTACTGTTAGTTATTGCGTAAGTGCAATAATAATATTATTATTATTATTGTGGGGGTAAGAAAAGGCTGTGGTATTAAGAAAAGGCTGTGTTTTATATCCAACATTGTTTAATATATAATCAGAATTCTTAATGAAAGAAGTTATAGTGACAATGAAAGAATAAAAGTTAATGGTAAAGTAATGTTAGATAAAGCGTCATGCAGATGATACTGGTCTTATCATGGATCAGTGAAGAAGCGTTACAAAAACTGGTTAACACTCGTGGAAAAGGGTGAAGAATGTGGGTTAAGAGATAATGCTGTAAAGACGAAAGTGATGGTTGTTTCCAAATAGAAAATAACCCCTAAAATATGAATTATGGCAGGCAACAGGGAACTTAAACCAGAGGAAATTTTTATGTATTTGGGAAGTAACATTAGCTGTGATGGTAGACGTACGGAAGAAATCGTGACGCGAATAGGTCGAGTAAAAACAGTATTTAATAATGTAAAAGACCTCATGAAAAAGGACATCAACTTCAATTTGGGAAAAATGGCTGCTGAAAAAAATATATATGACAAGGACTGTTTTATGGAACATGTGTTGACACTTCCAGTAGACACCAGAAAGAGGTTGGAGGTCTTTGAAGTGGGGTGTTAAAGGCGAATGTTAAGAATAAGTTAAAGACAGAAAAACAAATGAAGTAGTACTAAGAGTAGCAAAAAAATATAGATAAATATTTTAAATGTACAGAAAAAGAAACGTGGGATACTTTGGTCATATAAACAGAGATGGGGGATAATAACTGAAATATAATGGGCAGTGTTGTGGGTAGGAGGGCCAGGGGACGGCAAATACTGGGATGGGTGAATAAAATTAAAAACAGACGAAAACGTTTAGAGTGGAGGACCGTTCTCTCTCTCTCTCTCTCTCTCTCTTGCTTCGTCTGTGGGAACATGACGTAGCCGCGCTGGCGTCCTCACAATTGCTCCAGATATGTTACCAATAGCTTCACGAAACTTCACTCGTGACTTAAGGCGTTTATTGTAGATGCACGGTATAGCTAACGCGTTATTTATTCAGTCTGCGCAGACGCTTCTGCTGAGTTCTGAGCATGACACCTTGAGAGGGAAAAGCAAACACCTTGATCAGGCGTTAGCGTGTGCAGCGCCCGAATTGCTAACAACCAATCAGGAGTTTCTCCAGTGGGTAAATACGCGGATCATGGCTGCTTATGGAGAATATGTTGACGAATATTGAATAGTTTTGGGGGGCATGTAAGGCAATAAAAAATCTGATATGATAATGAAATAATTATATATGCAGTAGTATATTGGATAGGACCTAAAACAAAGCGTATGGCGTGAAAGAATTGAAAAGGATCACGCTTAGTTGAAACCTGTTTTGGCTCCGCCCTTTTATAAGTGGGTGTTGTGCGATTTCATTAGCCTTCGGTGACTTTGGTGTAATAATATTGATAATTCCTCAAATGTGATTAAAACCTTAATATCATTACTCATAAGATACTTTAAATAGGGGTGAACAAGTTGATTACAGTTCTGTAAGTGCAAAAGTTGAGACATAAACGAACCTGAAATTCGTTGTATTTCGTTTATAAATATGTGAACATCTAGCCGCGAGAGACAGTAGTATGGTTTCAGAGTCCGGGAGAAATTACCTTTACAACGAGACCGATTTTGTGTTATTCTTATTTATTGTTGACTGATTTACTTTTTTTCCATAATTTTCTATATAACTTCTTCACTATTTCTTTCCGTATTGTGTCCAAATAACAGTTTTCCTAATTTTATTGTTTTCTGGAGACTGTGTTGTACAACAGTTATTCCCAAGACACGGTACTGTCGAATTTTTTAATGACAGTCCAGGAAACCTAGCGCGTTAGCTATTCCGTGCATTTACAAAATACGCCTTTATTGTCCAGGGCCCAGTTATCCCATTTGATATAGGGGAGAAAGGTCCTTGCAAAAAACCGTATGTGCCAATATAGGCCAGCAGACTTTGTGTACTGACACTCGCTTTTCGTCACTGTGAACCAGTGAATTTTTCACGTTATGGAAAATGTCAGTAATAATAATTAAGATAATAATAATAATATAAGTAATAATTGTTCTTGATATTTATAATGTCATAATGATAATGGCAAGTAACAATAACAGCAGCAGCAACAGACTCGTGAGGCCTGGGGGCATCTTTGTTTACTGTGTGGGAGGGAGGAAAACGTTTGTGAGTGTCCACTGAACATTTAAATGCCTTCCTCCCCCCCCCCACCTCTTGACTCACGCAGGATTATAGCCATTTAAAACTCCGGGGGTGTCGCAGTGTAAATGTATCGAATGTAATGAAGTGAAGCCAAAGAGGGGTGTATTGTGGCTGTTTCCTCAGTGAGGGTGTAGTGTGGTAGGTTAAACAGGGGTGTAGTGTGGCAGGTTACACAGGGGTGTAGTGTGGCAGGTTACACAGGGGTGTAGTGTGGCAGGTTACACAGGGGTGTAGTGTGGCAGGTTACACACAGGGGTGTAGTATGGCAGGTTACACACAGGGGTGTATTTTGGCAGGTTACACAGGGGTGTGCAGGTTACACACAGGGGTGTAGTGTGGCAGGTTGCACAGGGGTGTGCAGGTTGCACAGGGGTGTAGTGTTGCAGGTTACACACAGAGGTGTAGTGTTGCAGGTTACACACAGGGGTGTGTGTGCAGGTTACACACATGTAGTGTGGCGGGTTACACACATGGGTGTAGTGTGGCAGGTTACACACAGGGGTGTAGTGTGGCAGGTTACACACAGGGGTGTAATGTGACAGGTTACACACAGGGGTGCAGTGTGGCAGGTTACACACAGG